CTAAATCTGAAAATAATTAGTTCATACCTTCATGAACTTGAAAACATCACATAAATTCACTGAAAGAAAATAGAAGCATCTTAGTGTTGTTGCAGGAATTCTATACAATTTTTAGTTACTTTGCCGGGTTTGATTAAATCAAACTTTTGGAAACAAATCTTTAAGTTAGTTATTATTCAGTGTAATATTTGAATACTGAATTATGGCAAAGGTTTAGAACGGTTATCCTTGAAATTGAGCAATTGACAAACGTTGATTTCTGCATGAGAAGAAGAATCCCGAATTGAACTAGGAAGGGAAAATCTGGTATTTGATTTCACAGAAAACCTTTTCACTTTCACTTTAATTTATTCTTTGAATCAATTAAAATGTAAAACAGTTATCAATGAGATATTGTCTTGCACAGGTCGAGGATGCATAATCCTAATACCACTACTAATGTCAATAACTCAACCTTATTGTAACACTCAGTCCTACTTTGATTGTCATAGCAATTAATGTTTTTTTTTAAAAAACACTGGCACACACCGCCACACATTATAATCCTTCCAAATGGTAATTGTAAACAAATTTGATTTTCTTGCATCCCTTTCTCACTGCAAAAGAGATCGTGGATACAACACAAAAGCGGCGCCGCAGAGATCTCCCTCGGCTGACGAGCACTCGCTGCCCGGAGCGGCTCTCCCATATCTCCGTGGCGCTTCTTAGACACCCTACGGGTGGTGCTCCAAATTGTTTATCTAGATGTGGATTCTTTGCGTTCCCCTAATCTTTCAAATATACTCACAGAAAAATAAGTAGGTTGCACTAGGAGATCTGAGAGGCAATAACTCTACACATGATTTTTTCACCGGCTGAGGTGGCTCAGAGAATCAACTAATGTTACTGCAGTGCATCTGAATGAAAGGTTTCAGGGTTAGAGTCCCGATTATGTCAAGATTTTCAACACTAGCTAGAGAGATAGGACGATTTCGGCCGTTGTCTGCAGGATAATTCTAGTGACCGGCTACTCTGATCGATATTTTTACGTGGTTTCTCCGATCAATACCAGGCGAATGCTGGAGCAGTACATTAAAACATCCACTCACGGACCGAGCGCTATCTTTCCTTTCTCTTCCTTCCTATCCTCAATTCTTACCTCCACACACTTACAAGCACTATACTACCGCATATGTCGGGAAATCAATCCGGAGCTTAGAGCTTGATCAGGCTGAATAGACCCTTGCCGGTGGGATAAATATCTGGATGGAGTAAACCGTGCAATCTGGCATGTACCGGCCTGACAAGTAAGGTCAGCATCGGATCAAATCACCCAGGACAACACTGTGACCTTTTGTGGTTTAAAATTATTGAATTTTTTTACAGCACCAAACTTGGGGGATTAAGGGAACCATAGTAGTTGACGCGGCCGGAAAAATGGAATAAATATTGTATCAATGATTATTTCATCGCAGAATATCGCGTATTCCACTGACTGATTTACTGAAGATGGTGAAGCGAGAATGTTTCGAACGAATCTGAAGAATATATTTGTCAGTGGCAGCAATTTCCGAACCCTGACTCCTGTCTTTTTGAGACAATTCGCGGCAACTTCTTTGTGACTAATGGTTCGGGCAATGTTGCAGCCTTGTTCAGAGCTGCACTAAAGGGCCATTCTTGTGCGAGAGTCATGAGCCCCAAACCAGTTTCAGAATGGCGAATCTCTGTGGTAAAGTGGTAAGATGATACTCCTTTCAAATATGTTAGATGCCGGCAGAGATTCGTAAATTCGTTTGAGATGTCCACAGTAAACTTGTCATATTTGCTGCCTGTATAAAAACCTTGACTAAACGTCCAGCAAAATGACATTCTCCGACAATACCCATCCTAATACGATCTTACGTACATTTACTTGGTCGGGTATGAAGAGATGAATAAATGTTACCTAAACCATTGTGGTATTCCTTCACAGTAAATATTGCAGCGAAAATCGCGAGGAGACTACAGGTGTCAACTGAAATATTCCCAGCGACATCCTCGTCGAGGGTGGGCTAATATATACATTTCTTAGTGCTCAGATATTTCCATCTAGCGAAATTTCAAAACGTTCTCCAGGAACCCTTCTAAGAAGCGCCGAAACAGGACGAGGTGTTTCTCGGGCAAACCGATCCCGGTTACCAAAGACTCGTCAGCCGAGGGAGACATCTTCGACGCCCAGCGACTTTCAAAGCGCCCGGCGCCGTGGAACGCGGGCGCTGGCAGGTGGCCGGCTCAGTCGTCGCTGCCGCTGGAGGCAGCGTCGTGGTCCATGAGCGGCTTGAAGGCCGGGTCGACGGCGGCCAGGGGCGCGACGCCGGCGGGGGCGAGGGTTGGGACGGGGCTGTCGGCGGAGCTGACGACGACGCGCACCTCGCCCTCAGCCGCGTCGTCCGATGCCGTGGCGGGGGCGGCGCTGGCGTTGGTGGGGGCGTAGGTGAGCGCCAGCGCGGGCAGGTCGGACGGCGCCACGCC